CTCAGTCATTCCCCTTTAAAAGAGCAGTGTAATTTTAATTCACTTCCTTTCATTATGGTTGGTGGAGTGTTCATATGTTAAACATCATATGATTTTATTTTTCCATAAACTGTTCATTTCTCTGCACATCAGTTTTTTATTTTTCTCTTCTCTATTTTCTACAGATAATTAATTAATTAGCCTTTTGTACTTGATATAAATTGCCTCTATTTTCCCCTTCCATTTGTTGGTTTTATTTAAATTTTTTCTACAATGAAAAGGATTTTTCATTTTTAAAAGGCAAATTCCTTTTATAGTTTCTGGATTTGTTGTATTTAGAAAGTTTCCTACTCTCAGATTATAAAGGAATGCATCATGTTTTCTATTATAACTATGTGGTTTTATTTTGTTTGTTAGATTTTTAATCTGTTTGCAGTTTATTTTTATGTATGGTATGAGATATGGATTCATTTTCTCTTTTCTCAGTTGTTTCAACACTATTGATTAATAAGTCCATCTTTTCCCCAGTGATTTGAGATGCCACCCTTATCGTATACCTAATTTCCAGATGTATGTGGATCTATTTCAAGACTCTATTTTATTCCACTGAATTGCCTATTTACACAACAGTGTCACACTTTTTAAATACAGAGACGTACAAGTGTGTTTCAACATTTGGTCAAATTTACTGATCCTCCTATTGTGTCCTTCTTTTCCAAGGTTTTCCTATGTTCGGGCTTTTTAATTTTTCCATATGAAATTTAGAATCAACTTAGCTCAAAAAAAACTCCCGCTTTTTTGCATTTGTTGTAATTGAGTTAAATCTGTGTATTAACATGGCAATTGATATCTTTATGATGTTGAATCATCCTATCATTCCAAAAAAGAAGTGTTTAAACTTTTTGCTATACAAGTTTTGAACATTTCCTTGAAATTTGTTTCTAAGTAGTTGATCTTTTGTTGTCACTGTTGCTGTTTTAAATGACACTTTCTCTTACACTATCATTCTAGCAAGGTTATTGTTTGTATATATGAAGGCTATTAATTTTTCATGTTAATTTTATATCTAGCCACCTTACTTTTTATTGTTTGAATTAGTTTTATGTTCAGGTCTTTTGTGTCTTCCAGGTATACTATATCCATATCATTGATAGAGATGATTTTCAATTTCTTCTTTTCTAACCCCTTACCACTAATTACATTGTCTTCTCTGATTATACTGGTCAGTAAATTCAACACGATACTAAATATAATGGAGGTAATGAGCATCCTTACCTTCTTCCTGAGTTTAGTGGAAAAAGGGCTATGGTTTCAAGTATATTAAGAACTACACAGATTATACTATGTTAAAGAAGCATCCGTCAGTTCCTACTGAATCCATTGTATCAGGAATGTTTGTTGAATTTTCTCAACTGCTTTTCTGCCAGACTAAGGCTATAATCACATGATTATTTTTGTAGATGTTTATGGATTTTCTAAAACTGACCCATCTTTGCATTCCTGGAATAAACCTCTTTTGATTACAATGTATTACTTTTTTAAATGTGCTGTTGGACATAGTCTGCTATTAAGGAATTTTTCATCACTTATTATATCAACATTCATAAGTGAGATTTCCTTACAATAGTTTTAATGGATTCACATTTCCCTTGTATATGTGGTATGATATGCTAGTTCCCAACTCATGTCCACTTAGATTATTTCTACAGTTTTGTTAATATTAATGATACTGAACATGAATTGGAGATAAAACCTTTTGCCTTTCTGTGTTTATATCCCCACGAACAATTTATAGAATGGGATTATTGGGTCAAAGGAAATTTTCATTTCATATTTTATGAGATACTACTAACTGTTCCACTTCCCCACCTCCACCCAATAAAAACACTGGAATTTTTAACTAGATGTGGAGCTTCATTAATTTCTCTGCATTAGAAAAGATAATAAAAGTTTACCCTGCTAGGAGCAGGAAAAAACCTTTCTAGTGTTCTTATTTCAGAATAAGGTTTACAGACAATGTAAAAGGTTAAAAAGGTTAGGTCAAAGAATCAAGGTTCCCAGTTTACTATTGTTAAGCTGTATGATCACAAATGTCATCTCTTTCGTTCTCATATGGAAAGGGAGACAAAAATTGGAAACTTATGACATTCTTATGAAGATAATTTGAGATAATATATATAAAATTGCTATATAAATGCAAGGCATCATAAACATGACAGGAAAATCTCATATTTGTGTTTATTGTCATCAGTTAACATTTAACAGGGAAACAAATAATTTCACATGTACACATATGAATTGCTACACTATGTAACAAAGAAGGGCTAACTCATCCAGGTGTGATAGAGAGATGAAGGACAGAACATTCTGAGTACTATGGTGGACCCCTTCCAGAAAGATCCAGCAGGCATTTACACCCCTTCTCCCTTGTGCGTCTCTCAATATGGAGGTTGAGAAAATTATATTGAGTAGTCCCTCAACCTCCATGGAGGACTGGACCTCCAAAATCTACAATGCTCAAGTCCTTTAGATAAAATGGTTTAGTATTTGCATATAACCTATGCCATACCAAAATCTACAGGTGCTCAAGTTCCTTAGATAAAATGGCTTCGTATTTGCATATAACCTATGAATATTCTCCTGTATACTGTAAATTATTTCCAGACTATGCAATATAAATGCTATAGTAATAGTGATTATACTCTATGTTTTTTATTTGTATTATTTTTTACTGTCATATTTAACTTTTTTTTTTAAAGACAGATTCTCACTCTGTCACCCAGGCTGGAGTGCAATGGCATGATTTTGGTTCACTGCAACTACTGCCTCTCAGACTCAAGTGATCTTCCTGCCTTAGCCTTCAAAGTAGCTGGGACCACAGGCACATGCCACCACACCTGGCCATTTGTTGTATTTTTTGTAGAGATGGAGTTTTGCTATATTGCCCAGGCTGGTCTTAAACTCCTGGCCTCAAGCAATCCTGTCACATCAGCCCCACAAAGTGTTGGTATTATAGGCATGATTTATCATACCTGGCCATTTTTAACTTTTTAAAAGAATATTTTCCATCTGCAGATGGTGGAATCCGTGGATACGGAGGGCTGACTGTACTCACTTTCTTAGTCTCCCTTGGAGCTAAAGTAACTGGTTCTGGTTTTGAAGATCTAAAGAAAATTCTGTAATGAGAGAGAATCCTCTGGAGATGTCTCTTCTCTCAAAGGAAAAAGAAAAAAGAAAAAAGAGCAGTGTCCATGTTCTAGGGAACTAGTCCCCTCACTTCCTGTCTTTGATTGTAGTTGGGAGAGGACATAATGCTTGGAGCAGAGGCAGCCTTCTTGAAACCATGAAGCAACAAGTCAACATGCAATCTGCAACTATGAGCCGTCATGTTAAGAATGGCAGAGTAAGTGGATGCAGATAAGCCTGGGCCTTGATGAAACTGTTGAATCAGACCTAACAACATGTATCCCAAGAATTCTGGAGTAAACAACAAACATTCCTATATTTTAGCATTTGCTAGTCAGATGTTCTGACACTTATAGCTCTAAATATCCTTAATGAAATGAATAAAAATCACTCCTTTACAAACAACATCTACTCAATTCCTTACAACAACTCTTTGAGAGCCTTCTCCCTCAGAATGAGCAGGGCCTAATGATTTGACTAATCCTAGAACCTGAAATACCAGAGGCTGGCCTGGGTGTAGGTGAAACTGACCAGCTGCTTCCTTAACAGTCAAGAGACAAGTGTTTTTCTGTCACAGTTTGAAACAGGAAAAAAAAAGAACACATCCAAAGCAGAGGTTACAGATTGGCAAATTCAACTGGTTGATCATGTTATTAGCATTTTTATTTTTTTAACAGATTAGAAAATGAGGCTCAGAGCATAACTTTGTAGTCAAGTATGGGGTCAACCAGACTCGTTCTAAGTTTCAAACACCATGTTCCTTCTCACTCTCAACAGGGGGAAGGAATGATTCTTCCCATCCATGTAGAACTGCTTGGCTATCCAAGATGTATTAAATTACAGAAAAGGGAGTAGACAAATATTATATTGTGATTACAAAAGGACTTTGGCTTTTATGGAAAAAATTGAACAAACTTTGGATTTGTTTAATACTCACTATAATAGATTAGTAATGCATGCCGGCCATCTGACTCTCAGAAGGAAGATCTGAGCTGCGGCCACTTGCCATGCTGGCGTATACTAAGTTTGAGTTACACCCTACAATGATTATGAGACATAAAAAAGAAAAACACTATTTCAAAGTTGTGTTAGACACAAATTCATTGTGCACATTGTTGCCAATCACTTATAACAAAAGGAAAATTAAATTACTTAAGAATGTCGCCCGAGGAAAAGCAAAATCAAAGAATAATTATGTTTGCCATTTAAGAAGCTGTAAGGTGATGGGCTTCCATGACTTGGATTCTAGTTCAAAAGATGAAAAAAGGGCTTGAGAAGAAGAGCTTTTTTTCAAAATACATCTGGGTGAATATTGGCAATGCATAGGCAAGGACTCTTTCATCTGATGAAAGATAATAAAAAATTTCTCATGAGACAGAAGTGCAGGCTGATTTTTGTTTCACCACTACGAAAAGAAACAGCATAATTAGTACTGAGATATCCAGGTTGCCATGGTGCACAGTGGCTTCTAGAACAACATAGCAGGGGGTACTCTAAGGAGGATGGAAAGGACAGTGCAGAGTCAGCATGATGCCATTTAGCAGAAATAGATCAATTCCCACCATGATGAAATATAAACGCATGCACACCCTTCCAGCTAATATTTAATGAAACTCTGAAATAGAAATCCTATTCTTATTTTCACTGGGATTTGGGATAGACTGTGTTTACAACTGAAAAGGAATACTGTGTGACCACAAGGAGAGCTTTCTGATGAAAAACACCATTATCAAAATTAAAAAAGGCAAGCGGGGTGCAGTGGCAACAGCCTGTAGTCCCAGACACTCGGGAGGCTGAGGTAAGCAGACCACTTGAGCCCAGGAGTTTGCGGCCAGCCTGGGCAACATAGTGAGATGTCATCTCTAAATAAGTAGGTAATTTTTTTTTTAGATTAAAAATTCAGTCATGGCAGTGTAAAGCAGATAGAATGACTGTGGCAAAAAACAAACAAAAAAAACAACCCACAGGCAGTGACTTAGAAGGTACTAATGTAGTACTCAGAGGGGGAAAAATATATGAAGTGATAAAAAGCAAAGAAGACATTTGGAAGACAGATGTGAGAGAACCAGAACAGATAAGCAGAAAGAGATTCTGTAAGGACCCAAGAGAAAAGACAGAGCATTAAAACTCCAGAAATATTAGATGAAAGTTTCCCTAACACTACACTTTGCCTGAAGATGTTAATAAAATGCAAGGAAAAGAGAAACCACCTACAAAAATGTGGGCAGAAAACAAATTATTAAAACAAAATCAAAATTATCAGACTTCTCTTTGAGAGCTGTAAATGCCATACACATATTTTTAAAAAAAGACTATTTTCACCCAATTTTTTGTAGGCACCAAAAAATCATTATTTAAATGGCAATAAGTAGATGTTGTCAGACATTGAAAATCTCTGAAAGTATATCTTAGTATCCTCTCCAAAAAAAATATTAGTTGAATAAGTTCCCTAGGTGACTGAAACATGAATCGAAATAAAGGATTCAGGTAAATAAGAAAATTGATATAAAACAAATTGCAGTGAACAATAAAAGGAGTAACATGGCTTTTTTTTTTTTTTTTTAAACAGAAGACCTTGTGACAAAGCTCCTTAGAAACTTGTACAAACACACACACTATAAAAATTCCTGTGTTTTAACAAGTACAGAAATTGACCTTTTTGAGGCTTGATTCAGCATGTTGAAAGAGGACTACAAAATACTGAAACACTTCAAATTCTTTTCAATATACTAAGAAGAACCTAAATAAATACTTGTCTTGTGCAAAAGGCACAGTGTTCTGATGTCCAAGAAGTGGGATTCCCAAGTTTCATTTCCTAACTTCTTAAGGAGAGTTGAGATCCCCGAAGAGTGAGATCTCTGGGGTCCAAAAGTAAGCCAGGCCATACCTGAAGCTGGGCTAGCATGAGAATCTCTGTTCAGAAGGACAGAGTATGTGACAAGGGACAGGTGGAGACTGTAAGATGAAGAACTCTCACACCCACAAGAAACAGAATCCATAGCAAGACACGGCACCTGATGTGGCATTTCTAGTGGACATGAAGTCTGGGGCAGATTTTCTTCCTCCATCCTCACTCCCAAGAGTGCTGGCTGGTAGAATCTTCCACTGGTCCACAGCCCTGTTTCTTCAGAAATGGGAGCTTCCATCCTCTCATGCTTTCCCTACATTCTCTGCCTCTGCCTCCCATTTCAAGTAGGGTCCCTCCGCCAAGAGTTGCCCTGGAGAAGCAGATGCTGCTGTTCTTGACTTCAGCCAGCTCAGGGGCTCTGGCGTGGCATGGGCCTCTTCTGTCTTTATCAGCCTGGACATCCTGACCATCAGCATCTTGGTAGTAGCCTTACATGCTGGAAGATCTAAGAGATGTCTCAGTAAGGGCCCTGAGGAAAATATTTTAGAAGACTTGGGATGGATGTGGATGGCCCGGCTCTCCAGTCTCCCCTGCAAGTATTTTCAAGCAAACTTGAAGGGCCTTGCGTCCACCATGCCTGCTCCCAGATGCCATGGCAATGAGCCTGGGGGTTCATGGTACCACAGATACTCCTCATAAGTTATATGTCACTTTGCTGACAATACTGCTTCAGGCAGAGCAACTGCTTTGCCCTCAGCCCGCACCACCGGCTTCCCATCTGCCAGTGTCTCCCCTGAGCGTCTTCTGAGATGCTCTGGAGCAGTGTCTTCCCTGGGAGAGCTGGGGAGGTGACTCTGGTGCTTCTTCTGGGGTGAGCTTTTGGCTCTCACTATTGGCAGGGCTCACATTCTGGAACTCTACCAGAAGATCTAACTTTAAGACACGGCAAAAGCAGCCTTCTGTGAGGGGGCAGGAGTCATCCAAGGCATTGTACCCTTTTCATCCCGGAGAAGTTGCCTTCTTTAGGGGAGCCATTGTCCCAAGAGTTTCTCCTTTCTTTGGGGGAGCCTGAGAATAACTTAGGCACCCTGCTAAGGGTCTGATTCCTCTTCAGATGGCCTCCTGACTCCGAGAGGCACTGCTTCTGAGAAATGGTGAGTGCCTCAGAAAGACACCTGCAATGCCCACATGGGGTGAAATTTCCCAAAGTTGAAATTGAGGCACTAGAGAGACACTGAAGACAGCATTTGATGAGAGGGCAGTTGAAGAGTGGCTCATGGGTGAAAGGAGTTTGGGGCATCTGCTCTCTGGAGGTGGTGATGTGCCTTCCTAGGGAAGTTCCACTTCAACCCTGCTGGAAAACTTTTCAGAACACAGCAGTGTAATTCGATGTCAAAAATCATTCTTAACATAGAAGAGGTATAACATAACATATAAATGAATAATAAACCATGAAACCATTACATAAATCTATCATTTTATTGTCTGAGAAATTTAATTATAAGGAAAAAAGAAAAGAAAATATATCTCTAGGCCGGGCGCGGTGGCTCATGCTTGTAATCCCAGCACTTTGGGAGGCCGAGGCGGGTGGATCACGAGGTCAAGAGATCGAGACCATCCTGGTCAACATGGTGAAACCCCGTCTCTACTAAAATTACAAAAAATTAGCTGGGCATGGTGGCGCGTGCCTGTAATCCCAGCTACTCAGGAGGCTGAGGCAGGAGAATTGCCTGAACCCAGGAGGCGGAGGCTGCGGTGAGCCGAGATCGCGCCATTGCACTCCAGCCTGGGTAACAAGAGCGAAACTCCGTCTCCAAAAAAAAAAAAAAAGAAAATATATCTCTATTATTTAGATACCCTTGTACAATGAATATATATTATCTGGTATTCGTTTCTCTCATTCACTGATTCAAAAAATATCAGGCCCTGCTCTTAGCTAGAAAATGGAGCTTGGGAATCACCTTCTCTGACATCAGAACACAGTCCTTTTGTACAGGACATGTATTCAGTTAGGTCCCACATAGTATGTTGAAAAGATTGTAAAGTGTTCTGGGAGCTTAGAGATACAGCAACAACCACACAAAACCCCTGAGCTAATGGAGCCTTACTGTGCATGAGGGAAGGTGGGGAAGATGAAGGAATGAACTTTCACATGAAACACTCTGCCAGATGGTCATAAGTGCCTTAGATATATTAATACAAGCAGTAAGGTAGCACTGAGTATGTTGAGGGGAAAAACAGTTTAATCTGGGAGTAGGCCACACAGCTTCTTAGGGCAAAGGATTTCTAGGCAAAGGGTAAGAGTGCTGAGGTCAGGGCTGCAAGGAGCAAGCTGGTGACAGAGATAAGGTAGGGAAGAGGCTGGGGAGCAGATTCCACAGGGTCGTCAGGCCCTGGTAAGGATGTTTCCTCTCTGAGTAAGGGCATCGACCCTGAGAGAGCTGGAGGGGCACTAGAGAGTCTCGAGCCAAAGAGTGATAAGACATATTTTTAAGAGAACCCCTGGGATTACTATGTGGAAAACAGACCAAAGGGGACAAGGTCAGAAGGGGAAAGACCTGTTAAGAGGCTATGACAAACATCCAGCCAAGACATAATAAAGGTTTGAACCAGAGTAACAGTAGAGGTATGGTCAGATTCAGTATATATCAAAATTAGAGTGTAGGTAGGAACATGAAGAGAGGAGAGCCTGAGCCCTGGAACAATCCACTATTAGCAGTCTAGGGAAGAGCAGGAAGAGTCACAGCCTAAGAAGGAGAGGAAATAAGGTGGAAAAAGGAAAACCAGAAGACAAGTGTGTTAAAGGCCAAGTGAAGAAAGTGCATCAAATTGGGGAATTAATCTACAATAAGATGAGAACTGATCAAGGATTAGCTGATTAGTAACGCAGAGCTTCTTGCTTTTGACCAGAGTATTTTCAATAGAGTGGTGATAGAAGTGACAAGAGAGCACAGGAGTACACAACTTGTAGCTAGCATGACATTTGCTTTAAATAGGAGAGTGAGTTTCAGCTGGTAAGATCAAGAGAAGATTTGTTTCTCTAAAGATGGGTAAAATAAAAGGAATTGTAAAGGGGGAAAACAGAAAATTTTTACTGGAATTGGTGAAATCTAAGACTATCATATTTATTCCAGGAAAAACAAACCACTAATTGGTGGAATATTTTCAGATCTTTGGGCACTTTGCCCCTGACCACCATCCTTAAGGTCAGAATCAGGAAGAAACAGCTCAAGGTTATTGGAGAAAGTAAAGATGTTTTCAAAGCAGTATGGTGACCACCTCTGGCTTCCATTTGTTAATGAGTCTTACATTCCGTTAGCCTCCTTACTCTCCTGGGCTTATCTTCATTGGCATCTATCTTTTTCTCCCCAGTGCCTGCTTCTCCCTCCCTATCTCAGCATCAATCCTCTGAAATCCAGGGTCTACAGACTTACTGAATTAAGTTCTTTAAATCAAACTTTGCGTGCTTCCAATAAAATCTGTTTCTTGAAGAAAAACTCAAATATTGCAAAACTCAAGTATTGCAAATCAGCATGGTTTATTCTTTGAGGATTAAGAGGCCACAAGCAGTCAAGACTTCTAGAGCTCATAAAAGAAAATGCGAGCTCCAGCCATCTGAGCCCAAAAGGATGGAGAAAGGTTAAAGGAGAAGCCATTCTCCTATTACAAGGTCATGATTTCTTAAAATGAAAATCCAGTTCATGCAAAACAGGATTCATCATCAAACAAATTTATTGAGCACTTTGTATTAGTCTGCCTCCCCCAGCCACACAGAGACACCCTCTGAGGATTTGTAATGATGACATGCTGAGGAACCCGAAGGAATACAAACATATGTCAAAAACATAATTTGACTTTCTCCTTTCTCTTGAACAACTCAGACTAAAGCCATTAGATAGGACCAAGGGAATATGGGCGTCTACATGGGCTGGCCTGAGGTTCAGAGCCCATGTGTAAAGGGGACAGCATAGTGACACATGACTGGTTATCTACTGCAATTGAGTATTAGGAGGAAGTTTTCTCACTGTCTGAGAAGGGAATAGCAAAAATGAAAGGGGAAAAAAAAAACTAGAATGAACCATGTAGTGTTGGATTAGAATTGAAGGCATAGGTTTAAACACCTCTATGGATTAGAACTGGAGGTTCAGATATAAATACAGATGCAAATGTGTATCTATGTATGAGTGTAGGAAGGTGTATTCAAACTCAATACCCCTTGCTTTGTCCATTGAAAGGACCTGGGAGCAGTGCCACCTGACGGCACACTGAGCATGACTAGAGCACAGATCCTGACTTCCACATATTATTCTCCAGGGAAAGTAATCAGGGCTTCTTGAAAAAATGGTTTATTCTAGGACTGGGGCCGGAAAAGTATAGATGATCTTGGAATATCTTGCTGGGCCAGAAAGCAAGGAAGTGCTCAAAGATGTCAAAAGAACATAGAAACCAATTTGAAGAGGCTTCCACTGGCCAAATCTAGGACAGTATGAACAGCAAAGCAAACAATGAGAGCAAATAGAACAAAATGAGAAGGCTCGAATTCATACTGATACAAATAAATGTATAAATCAGAAGATTCATGAAGAATCGGATATGTACATGGCTTTTCAAATATTTCCCTACCAGATCTTATTAATTACAAAGGAAAAATGTGTCATTTCACAGTGAAGAAACCTGACAGACAACAGTCAATCAAATGATCAAAGTGCACATCAGGATGCAATTAGGACAGAATATTATCTCTGATATTCCTGCCAAAGGTAAGTAACTTGAATCTAATTATGACGAAACATCAGACAAACCCAAATCAAGGAACATTCTACAAAATAACTGGCCTGCAATCTTTAAAAGTACTAAAGTGCAAGGAAGACCTAGGAACTATTCCAGACAGAAAGAGACCACAGAGGCACCACACTTAAATGTAGTGCTTGCATTTAAATCATTTTTTTTTCTATGAAGAACATACAAGGAACAACTGGCAAAACAGGAATGACATCTGAATTTCAGATGGTCAAAATGAAGTGGTGTTAATCTCCTGGTTTTTATGGTTGTATTGTGGTTATTCAGGAGAATGTCCTTACTGGGAGGAAATACACTGAAGTATCTGGGGATCATAGGTATATCAGATCGGCAGCTTACCATCGAACAGTACAGTTGGGGGAAAGCTCTTTGTATTATAATTGCAACTTTTCTGTAGGTGTGATTGTTTAAAAATAAAACAAAATTATGTTTTTGAAAAATAATCCTCATCCTCTTTTCCAAACACATATGATTACTGGAGTTACCTTAGGTGATAACAGCCCTGGGAATTGATCATCCACAGTGGATACTTGGACCAACACTCCTGTAAGCAACACTATTCCATTCTTAGTAGGAAGGGAGGCTCAGTTGAGTACAGAGCCTTCTGAGTTTGGGCCGGAGGCATTTCAAAGCAGCCTCTTCTTGGTCTCTACTCATAAGCACAGACTTGGGTGAAAAAGAGAAGGAAGAAAAAGAACTTCGAATTAATGTACCTATACAATGGGACAGGTTGAGAAAAATTTTAAAACCTGTGTCAAGTTTGTTGCATTATGGTAGAAACAGTGAATCAGCCTGATAAAATAAAAGTACAATTGGTATCTTCAGGATATCATTTAATCCTATCTGTACCTAGCATTCAAGAAAAGAAATCCTAAAAATGATTCCGTATCAACATTGTATCATTCAAATTAAATTAAAAGATGAAAAAAACAGAGGTTCTGCAATGTTGAGGACCTTATTGGGGTGAAGGCAGGATTAGAGGCCATGGTTGACACTCCATCATGGTCTAACATGAATGCCCCTGCTCTCTCCACTACGGGAGGCTGATTCTCTGTGAAAAAAAAAGAGAAGGTAAATGCTATGCTCTTCTCCAAGAAATAATATGCTCTGTGAAAACTGAGAGAGGCAGACATGAATTAATCAGAATTTGAATAGGAATCCACTTGCTGTTCCATCTGTGAAATATTTTTCATCTTTTAAAAATAAAAATCCTTAATAGAACATGTAGGATTGATAATAAAATAGTCTTCCAAGATACCATCCGTATGTATATTGTTTTACTGCTTCTCTGCTCACTCTGCATTAAGACCTTCATTGATTCCAACACCCAAGCCACCATTTTGTAAGCAAGAGCCATAAGTTACTGGTGGCCTGAGAGGGTTCATTCTGCATCAGTGTTGCTTCCCCCATAAAGTTCAACAAATTGCCTGAAATATGAAAATAATCTTCTTGATTTCCTTCAGTCTTCCAGATAAATACTTGTGAATTTAATCAAGGAGTCAGAAAAGACAGTTGGAATCAGAAAACAAAATGGTATCAATTACTAGTATTTCCCATTCTCTGATCAGGCTTGTCTTATCTGAAGCTTGTAAAGTTGTTTAATCTTTTCCATCATCTCAGGGAAAAGAGAGCCTGGAAAGTCCTAATCATTCCACAGTAACTATCAATGGGATTTTCCATAACTATCTGGATGTAAAATGAAAATCCTAAGAAGTTGATCCAATTCTAAAACTTATTTCTCAACTTAATCATAAATATGAAGAGACAACTCAACCATATTTTCTTCAAATAACATCTGGTTGTTTGGCCAGACTGTTAATACCTGAAAGAGTTTCTGAGTTTGTTCCAACAAATCTACACTTAAAGAGCTTAAAAATGTGTTTTTGCGTTAAACATTCTTTTCCACATCTGACTTAGGGCCAGCGATGTGACTGTGAGAAAGAACCTTGCCAAGAACTCAGAAAGAAAGGGAATAAAATTGTCTTTTAGAAGTTAAACTGTGAAACCAGCACCTATTGGATTAGGGCATAGGAATGAGAAATCACCACAAACGGACAAAAAGTTGCTAGGCCAGCAAGATTTGGATGTGACTCCACTAAAGGTATAAAACACACATCTAAGGGTGATATTAATCATTCGTGGAGTCATGGAAGAAGGGTTATTCACACAGACTTGAGCAGTACTCACCAAGGCACCATTCTGACTGGAAGGGGTCAGGAGCAGCACAGTTGAGGTAGCACAGAACCACCACCAAGTCATTTCTATTGTGAAAATGAATACATCACTTTGCTTTTGCCTGATTACCACTAAACCTTACCCTGGGCTGGTCTGCCTTATTCATGATGGAAAACTCCACTTTGAGCATACATACCAACCTAGGGCAGGCAATCATTAGATGTTTGCTCAATGAATTTGCTCCAACTCTTTGCTCACAACTTCCTGAGGATAATTTGGCTCCCCACATAGTTCTGACTACAGGGAGAGTATGAGCTAGTCTTGTGGATTTGAGAATTCTGGTCCTCATGCCAGCAATAAAACTCATTGAAACAGACAGTTTAGCATTTGAGTTTCCTTACTCGCAGGTTGCTCCCAAAGAAAGGGACCTTGTGTGCACTGCTTGATCAAGTTTCTGAGCCCAAAGGGCTTGCAGCAGGTCTCTGGGCTATGATAACTTTACCAGGATGATGATGATAGTAGTAGCGATGGTGCCAACCTTGGCCATGAGTAGAGCATCCTGTGTGTACTATCAGACATTGTACTATACGCTTTATATACTTGAACTCATTTAAGCCCCACAATAATCCAATAAATTAGGCATTATAAGCATTCCCATTTTGTAAGTGAAGATGCTGAGACTCAGAAAGCTTTAGTAACTTACCCAAAGACCCATATTCAGAGTTTGGATTCAGACCCAGATTTATCTGACCCTAAAGCCTAATTTTTTTAATTGTAAAAAAATACCACCTTTGGAGAGATGAACCTTTATCTTTCTCTTTGCCACACTCTTCTGCTTCAGCAGTGCGCCCTGGGCCATCCCAGTCCACCTTCAATATGACTACATCAATGCACCGCTACCGTACAAGTCTTCACATAAAGTTACATAGCATACCAACGCACCCTTAATTAGAAGTGCACAAAGTCAAGCCCTGTTGCAAGGAACAGCAACACCAATCTACCCTATGCCATCAGTACCATTAGCTTCAGAAGCCAAAAACAGGGGCCTCTTTAAATTTTTCATCTCCCTCACCATGCCTGCCACAACCCATCCAATCATTCACATGTTCCTCAATTGAATCTCTTCAAGACTTCCCTGATGCATTCACTTCCCCCTGCTCACCATTCCCATTGCTACTACCCATCTCTCACTTGGACCACTACGAAAATCTCCAAGGTTCTGCTCATGCTTCTACTCTTGCTCCACGTTGCTCCATTTTGTGTCCACAACGTGGGATTTCATCCTTAAGGACACATTCAGGGATCTTTGTATAATCTAATCATGAATTCCACAGTTTAAAACTCCTTCAGTATGACCCCTCGCCATAAACTGTGCTTCAGCCCTCTTCGTGAGTGGTCTGCGGTTTTTGGGATTTACTCAGTTCTATACACTCTAGGATGGCACACACATACCCAGCACAGATACACCTACATCCCCCAAGACCAGCATTCTCTCCACATCTCCCTGGGCAGCCTGTACAGGTGTTTTAGAACTCACTCTCATTTTAGCTCCTCCAAGAATCCTGGATTAGGTGCCCAACTGAGGTCTTCTCATCACACCCCCATCTCACCCCTCATACCACTGTATGGGATTTTTAAAAATTATTATTTATGTGACTTCACCTTCAGACTCTGACCTACCTGAAAGCCAGGACCCACTTTATTTATACACAGTGTCTAACATGAACAAATACTTGTTAAGCAAATGAATGAATGAATGTGAACCTGGTATACCATAGGCATCAGAATCCACCCAGCTTCCTCAAGTATCAGCTGTATGATCTTAAGAAAGTTGCTTAATCTCCCTAGTCCTCAGAGTTACTGTCTGTAAAATGGAGATCATAAAATCTACACTTTCAAGTTATTGTGAGCTTTAAACTAAATCACATAATATGTGTGAAATCCTAGGTGTCATGCCTCATATATAGTAAGTATTCAACTGTTGGTTGTTATTATTATTGCTGTGCCCTTCAAGGCCCAACTGAAAACATTCACATTCTTGAAAGACTCTGCATCAATTCCCAGCCCACCATGATGACTGTGCTGCTCCATGCTACATTTCATAATGTATTATTTTGCTGCTTGAATATATTGTTTGAAAGGGTCTGCCTTTTCAGTACTTTCTTCAGGTCACCTAATACTTTAACAAATGCTTTTAGATGAAATGATATTATCAAGTTCAGTTTTGTTCTATAAACTAATGGTGCCTTTTTGCTATAGATCTTACAGTCCACTGGAGCTTTAAACCAGGGAAATTCATTTTGCAACTCCTAATGGTGCAAATACCATAAAGAGAGGCCAGTGAGAGACACACGCTTAGGAGGAATGGCAGGGCTCTGGAAGGGAGACAGGTGGTGATCTCAAATTAGAAATCAGGTCTTAAAGGGACCACAAGCAAGATGAGGTTTCGAAAAAAGGGTGTCCTTTGTCACAACAAATGTGAAAAGGTGAATAGTCAGACTAATGCCTAAAAGAAACTTACAGCTTTGCCCCTGTAAGGAATACTGTGCAGTCATTAAAAATAGAAGACCAGCTAATAAAATGGCAAATAAGAACATGTAAGAGACGATGTTAAGTTTAAATATATTTATACAATATAAGACTTTTGATTATAGTATGTAAAATTTGCTTTAAAATAAACAAAAAATCTAAAGGGAGTAGACCAAAATTTTAATAGCTGTAACACGTGGATAAGTTTGTGGGCGAAATTTTCTTTTATCAATTTCCCACACCGTTTGTAGTCTTGCCATATTCTTTTAAAATGTAAAAAATATTTCTTAGAAAATAGATATTCTGCGTGCCCCTCTCGCAGATGGCTCCAGAAAGAAATGAGATAGTGCAGAAGACACGCCCTAGACTGCAGGGGGCTCCATGAGCCCAGAGTCTGAGTCAGCAGCGTGCGAAAAGCGGGGAACGTAGGCACTGGGCGCCCTGCAGTTCCATCCCGCCCTGGATGGGTCCCTTCTTTCCTTGCCACCGCCTCGCAGGCCACCCTCGGTGGGCGCAGCGCCCCTCCCAGCCCCAGACCATGCTGTCCCCAAGCCACCCTCCTTGCGAAGGATCCCTCCGGGAGAAGGGAGGAGCCACAAGGGGCCGGAAAGAGAGTTCCAGGACGCAAGCCCCCGCGACTTCGCCTTTCCTGGTCCCGCGCGGCCCCCCACCCCCGCCCTTGCGGGCCGGTGCTCAGTACCTCTTGCAGGGGATCAGCGCCTTCCTCTCATCCAGCACTCGCACGCGCTGGTTGAGCCCGTCGTAGGAGAGCAGGGCGCGGCTGTTGCGCCCGCTGCTTTGCTGGTACACAACCTGGCGCCCCTCCCACTGCTGCGGCGCCTGGCAAGGGCGCGGGGCTCCAGGGGAACCCACCGCCCCCAGGCCGCTCAGGGTCCAGGCCCAGAGGCCGCTCAGAAGCCAGGCGCCCAGGGCGCCCCGAACGGTGCGGAGGGAAGCGCGTCCTGCCATCGCGGTCGACCTTCCCCCAGAGAGCAAGCCCGAGCCCAAGGGGGCGCTGAGGCGTCCGGGCGCAGAGTGGCTCCCTCCAGCTCCCTCCGCACTGTGCGGGGAGTGTCTGGACCAAAGTGCTTCCGGCCACCGCGGTGGCCTCTGCCGCTGTTGAGATCAGGACGCGCGAGTCCCGGGAGCCGGGACCAGGGCCCTGGGAAGGCTCCAGTGAATCGCGCGGGAGCTATTTCTGCCTGGGCCACTGCCTGCTGCCGCCTTGGTTTTCACTGCTCACTGCTGCCAACAGGAAATGCAGTGGCAGTGGTGCCACTAGCATCCTAGGAGGCATCCTGTTTTAAGAGGGGGAGGGGGGAGACTGTGCTAAGAAGTGTGTTTCTCCACTAAGTTCGGTGTTCAACAGGTAATCACACACTGAGGGGCAATTTCAAAGTCAAGCTGCTGCGTTTACTGTGCCCCCACATACATTGCCCCTGGACAAAACTGCAAACTTCTTCCACTAAATTAAAAGTGGAAAGATGGGTCTTTTCCTGAAGAAATGATTCTAGCTATTCATGATGGCTGTTTCTCACACCCCATTCCCAGTGAAGAGTCTAGGAGACTAGTGGACAGCCCCTTGCATTGGGCCTAGGACTCATGGGCGTTGCCTCAAGGTCACGTTGCAGTGAGACTGCTCCTACCATCGCCTGGCAACACCACCAGTCGAGTGGTTTGGGTATCTGGGGAGTTTAGCTTCTTCAAGAACAAGGTTAATTGGGCTTACGTTTATGTAATGTTAGGACTTACAATATGGAATGAGTGGGGCTCACACATCTGTATTCCCAACTACTCAGGAGGCTGGAGTGGGAGGATGGGCTTGGTAGTTACCGGTTGCAGTGAGCCATGATTATGCCACTACACTCCATGCAGCCTGGGTGACACAGTGAGACCGTGTCTCCAAAAACATGATAATAAAATATGAAATCGAGAAAAAAGGAAGCAACTAAAAAAATGTATGGCGTCTTTCCATTTAAACTGCATTTCCAGGATGATTAAGATTGAGCCAGGTGAAAGTGGGAGATAGCATTCCTGAACGAAGGACATGAAAACAAGACAAAATGGGAATAATGCTGCGGTTCACAGACAAGGCAGAGGAGTACTCTGAAGCCATAGAACTCATTTTAAGGATTTTATCATTAATACCGAGGACCTTGGGAACTGTCAATCAATGTAAAGCTAGGGAGGGGCATCACTGGGCATACCCCTGGAAAGCCCACTTAGGCAACAGAAGGGGTAAGGTCAAAGGGAAGGCAGGGAGAGGAAGAAGCTACTGTTATAATCCTGGAAAGAGATGATCCTGACTCAGCTAAGGCAGTGGGAGTGGGCATGGAGAGGGTGGAAGACAGTTGGGAGCTGTAGAGGAGCATTTCAACTCAGAGGGAGAGGTTTCTGGTTTGGACCACTGGGAGTCCAGTCCTGAGTGAGGAGAGACAATCAGTTCATTTTAGGATTGGTTGATTTTGAACTGACTGTGGAATATTCAGCTGGAAATATTCACAAGACAGCTGAATAAATACTTCCAGAAACCGGCAGAGCTTTTGGATTAGGAAGCCATGGATACCTAGGTGGTAACTGAAGCCAAAGAGCAGAACAGTGATTTCTGGAGCAATTCCTCACTCCTCCCTCCACCCAGCAAAGAAGCGTCTGGCAATGTCTGGAGATATTTTTGATGGTCACAATGCAGATAGGGAGGAGGCTACTGCTGGCATTTTGTAGGCGGAGGCCAAGGATGCTACTAAACTTCCTCTAACAGCCACCTTGCCCCATCCAAATGAAGAATTATCTGGCTCCAAATGTCAAAAGTGCTGGGGTTGAGAAATCCTGGAGTTCAGGGGAGTGCTGAGTGTGAGAAGAAGGATTAGGATGGAGCCCTAGAGAGCTCCAGCCATTTAAAGGATGGGCAGAGAACAGGCATTTGAGGAGACCAAAAGAAGTCACCAGAGAGAAGCCACCAAACGAGGCAACTTTCCGAGCCTTGTTAAATAAATGTAAGGCACAGAGAGAATGGACTGAATGCTGAAGTAGGGTGTTCTAGAATCACAGCCTCCCTGGAGGGCATGAAGAGGAGGAATAGTTGACAGGTTTTCCTGATGCATCCTTCCCTGCTGCCCTCTCTCTGCAGAAGCACTAGAAACACTACCAATGGGCCAAATGGGGCAGGCACAGAGCTTTTGGAAGAAGGGCTCTTCATTTCCTATTACCTTTTCTTTCTCTTTCTCTTTTTTTTTTTTTTTTTTTTTTTTTTTTTTTTTTTTTTTTTTNAGTCTCACTCTGTTGCCAGGCTGGAGTGCAGCGGTGTGATCTCAGCTCACTGCAACCTCCACATCCCAGGTTCAAGCGATTCTCCTGCCTCAGCCTCCCAAGTAGCTGGGATCACAAGTGTTGCCACCACACCCAGCTAATTTTTGTACTTTTAGTAGAGATGGGGTTTCACCATGTTGACCAGGATGATCTCCATCTCCTGACCTCGTGATCCACTCACCTTGGCCTCCCAACGTGCTGGAATTAACAGGCATGAGCCACCGTGCCCAGTGTCCTCTTACCTTTTCTTAAAGGGAATGCCTCAGAAAACATCAGAGAAGCCCATGAGACTCTGTGATTTGGCACTTATATAGTTAAACAGATGCAGCAGATTCAAGTTGGCTGCAGAAATTTGAACTTTCTCCAAGTTTGCCATCCTCAGACTCACAGGCAAAGGATAAGGGTAGTTCAGCTCGTTCTATTGCTCCTCTGGTAGAAACTCTGACTAATAGTCTTTTTCGCTCAGTGAAAGGATTAGACTCATTGGAGTTTACTACTAGAAATGGCTTGAGATGTCATCCAGGCTATCCTGTTGCATGATATTTTACTAGCCTGGCTTGGCATCTTTGGAGGCTGAGATCTGTTCTATGGAAATTTAGACTACTTTTCTAGAGTGGCTTGGCAGTGTAAGAACAACCTGGGCATCCCCTAAATAAGAACCAGTCTCTTTTGATGAACCCTGAAATGTATTGGTCTCATTTATTCTTTTAACTTACTATGTTTAATTCATGTTCCTTAAAAAATAAGATAACGCATTTGAAGTTCTTCGCTCCATGCCTTGACCACTGTAATCTCCCAATAGATGTCAGTTGTGCTTGTTGCTTCCTTGGCTGTTTTAATCCATAATCTTTAGTTTTAATCCTTAGTCCAAACTAAACTAATTTTGTAGGTTTGAGCTTTGAAGAGAAAAACTGTGCGTGTTAAATTCAAGTTAAACTGTATTTTTAAAGATTAATATTCAGAGAACATGTTTCCATATTGCTGATGCCCTAGAAATTAGCATATAGCAGAAGTCTTACCACCTGAAGATTGATATACATTTAAAGCAATAAAACCTCCCTTTTCTGTGGATAGCTGAGCCAGAAACTGGAATTACTAACTCTTCTTAATGCAAATAAGATAGAAGAGAAAGCAAAGCATACATATTTGCATTCCATAGTACACAGCTTCTTATTCAACCCAAGCAACAGTCCCTGAGCACATCAGAAACCAAGATTTTAGGTTGCCGAGGTGGAAATTCTTTGGTATGAAGGATTAGAGCAGGGGAGACCTTTCAGACTGTAGTGTCAGGTGTTTTCTCCTGGGTTCCACTAGTGCCGGAGAAGGGAACAGGGAGTTAGAAGGAAGAGGGAATGTCGGAAGGCATTTCTCAAGTTGGAAGATGCTAGCACACCTTACCCTAGCTCTGTTAAGTTTCTAGAGCAGAAACAAACCAAATGCCATACTGGAAAAATGTCAGCCCAAAGTGTCTACTAGCAACAACAAACCACACTCCACACAAGGAAGGGCGGAGCGGGGGTGACTTATACAACGTGTCCCTCCTGTTCCGACATTCACTGCACTCTCCCTGCCCCGCAGGACAGTGTCCCAATTGTCCTCAGCGCTCCTCGTGCCACCTACTGGAGAAAGCAAATATGTTTCAGAATTAGAGGGCAGCAGAAGTTCCCATTTCCCCCCAACACTATACTTGGGAAAACTCTAAGGCAGAGGGAGCAAAGTTCAGTTTTCATTCCAAAGACTGTCTTTCTCTCTCTTGAAATTCTCTTCCGCACCCTCTCGTATCTAATGTCGAAAACAACTGCCAGAGGTTCTTTTTCTTGGTCCGAAGAAAAAAGACTGGCCAGACGAAAAAGGAGGGACTTTCGGGGGAAAGCAGGCTTCCAGCCCTGGGCTGCAGCCCGGAGGGGATGATGTCACCGCTTCTGCAACGAGGGGCCTATGGGTGGGGCAGCAGAGGGGGAGCCCGCGCCGCGCCTGCAGCTGCCAAGGGAGCGTTCTGAGCCCACGTCAGGGGAGGTGTCGGGATAAATAGGGTCCCGCAATGGCCGTGGCTGGCTGCGCTCCGAGCTGCGGAGTCCGGGACTGGAGCTGCCCGGGCGGGTTAGCGCCCCGAAGGCTGAGAGCTGGCGCTGCTGGTGCCGTGTGTGCCGGGCGGCCGAGATCTGCAGCCGGACCCCGCGGCCCCGCTTTGCTACCCACTAGAGTTTGGGGGAATAAACTCTCTTGCGCCCCGGAGAACTTTCTCCTCGGGGAAGGGACAGAGAGAGACGAAGGTGGCAGGAAGAGAAGGGCGCTTTCTGTCTGCCGGAGTGGTAGCGCGGGAGGGCAGTGCCATGTTCCTCTCCATCCTGGTGGCGTTGTGCCTGTGGCTGCGCCTGGCGCTGGGCGTGCGCGGCGCGCCGTGCGAGGCGGTGCGCATCCCCATGTGCCGGCACATGCCCTGGAACATCACGCGGATGCCCAATCACCTGCACCACAGCACGCAGGAGAACGCCATCCTGGCCATCGAGCAGTACGAGGAGCTGGTGGACGTGAACTGCAGCGCAGTGCTGCGCTTCTTCCTCTGTGCCATGTACGCGCCCATCTGCACCCTGGAGTTCCTGCACGACCCCATCAAGCCGTGCAAGTCGGTGTGCCAACGCGCGCGCGACGACTGCGAGCCCCTCATGAAGATGTACAACCACAGCTGGCCCGAGAGCCTGGCCTGCGATGAGCTGCCTGTCTATGACCGTGGCGTGTGCATCTCGCCTGAAGCCATCGTCACGGACCTCCCGGAGGGTGAGGACTGAGGAAGGATGGAGGGAGGCAAGGAGGCTCCTGGGGCCGGGTCTACCACTTGAGGACTGGATGGTCACACCTAAGGCTGTCAGGGGCTTCTGAGGCTTGTAGGAGGTGGGAAGGAGTGGGGGAAACATTTCCTTCAGAAAAAGTCTTGTTTCCCCATAGGACTTTTAGGAGCTAGCAAAGAGCATTGCACCCCATAAAGAAAAAAACAAAGATTTTGCT